CCATTCAGCAGTGGAACTCTCTGGCTCCTTTTTTGGAAGCTTTTAAACAGAGGCTGGATGGCCATCTGTCAGGGGTGATTTGAATGCAATATTCCTGCTTCTTGGCCGGGGGTTGGACTGGATGGCCCATGAGGTCTCTTCCAACTCTTTGATTCTATGATTCTATGACCTCCACACAGAATCCTGTCTTTAGCCACATGATTAAGTACTTCAGATACATTGATGATGTGTTTATCATTATGAATAATCTACAAGCTGCACATGATTTATTGATATGGGCCAACACCATCCACCCAGACATCAAATTCACCGGACACATTGATCCAAATAGCATTCCATACTTAGATGTTTTGGTTACCAAACTGAACAATAAACTATTGGTTAATAATTATCGAAAACCAATAGATCGAAACTCAACTCTTCATTATTCTAGTTTTCATTTACCATCTTTAAAGAATAATTTACCTTATTCTCAGATACTTAGAATTAAACGCAATTGCACTCGACAACAAGATTTTGAACATAATTTAACATCAGTAAAAAATCAATTTGTAGCCAAAGGGTACCTGGGACATCTCATTGATAATGCCATCATCAGAGCATCCAATGTTCCATGTACCACTCTACTGGCAGACAAATCTACAGACAAATCTGTCATCAAAATTGTAAAAAAATATTGGCAACTTATAAGGGACATACCAGGCTGTGAAAAGTATCCTATGATAGCACACAAAAGAACACAAAATTTGAGAGATATGCTGGTACACTCAGATATCAACTATAATTCTCAAATTAGGAGGACTAGACTCAATTTAGTAGGAAACTTTCCTTGTCATCATTGTGCCATATCTCTGGGACTCTGTATCCATTCAAATGCAGCAGAAGCCTCTCTTGATTGTTCACACCTTGTGAAAATGGAGTTGCTTCGCAAAGATTTTCCTAAATGGTAATTCAGTTTCCATGTATCACTTAGATTTTTTTTATGTAAGCAGTTTGTAAATATTGATAAATAAATAAGGTTCCTTTAGCAATACATAACAGTAATAATGAGAAAGAAAGGAGTGTAAATATAGACCAAGAGGGAGCTGATACAGCAGCAGAAGTTGGGGTCCATATAATGGAATGGTGGAAGAATGAGGTAGCAAAAACCCTTTTGTCTGATCTTCTGAAGTCAAAGACTTTTCTCACTTCTGAACCTTCAAGGAAAACTTTTTAGAACTATTTTCAGCAATATTGAGACTGAAATAAAACTTCATAATCTTTAGAAGCCTAAAATACTGTGTGGAACATATCAGATATACAGAACCTAATCATAAGATAAAATCTGAATGCATTGTCGAAGGCTTTTATGGCTGGAATCACTGGGTTCTTGTAGGTTGTTCGGGCTATATGGCCATGTTCTAGAAGCATTCTCTCCTGACGTTTTGCCTGCATCTATGGCAAGCATCCTCAGAGGATGCTTGCCATAGATGCTGGCAAAACGTCAGGAGAGAATGCTTCTAGAACATGGCCATATAGCCCGAACAACCTACAAGAACCCTAAATCTGAATGCTTGGGCTTTTAAAACAAATCTTCTACAGAAGAAAATTATCGTAACTGCATTTGATCAGTCTCCTACACTATATTAATTGAACTGAGTCTAGCAGAGGCCTAAAGACATTAAAAATACACACCCACTTAAATTAATCACTATAGCATAGTAATGAGATTCTCTAAAGAGCAGAGCACATGCATGCATTAAACAAAACCCTTATCTCAGAATGAATCAGTCTGAAGTCCAGTGGTAAAGTCTGAATCTTCAGAGGTACTGAAGACAGCTCATAAGGGCAAACATTCCTAATGAAAAGTGTTGTGTTTCCTCTTAATTTAACAAAGCTAAATTCACCTAGCACTTGATTAAAGTACTCCTAGGGCTAGAAAATGCTATCACTATACAGCAAATTATGACTGTCCTTAAGAGACTGCCAACTCTATACAAAAGCCAAAGTACTTGTTGAAAAGTTCAAACAACATTATACCAAGATTGTTGTGGGTTTTCCGGGCTGTACGGGCATGTTCCAGAAGCATTCTCTTCTGACATTTCACCTGCATCTATGGCAGGCATCCTTAGAGGTTGTGAGGATACCTGTCATAGATGCAGGTGAAATGTCAGGAGAGAATGCTTCAGGAACATAGCCATACAGCCCGGAAAACTCACAACAACGCATGAATTCTTCAACAACATTATATCAAATTTCTTCCTTTTGGGTGAAGAGCTTGGAATTAATTAGATATCTGGAACTTTAATCCTCTTGTGGAAAAAGGGAGAAATCACCAAAGAAGAATTCAAACAAATAGCCAACACCTGTAGGGAAAAGGTCCGCAAGGCTAAAGCAAAAAACGAGCTCAGACTTGCCAGGGACATTAAAAACAATAAAAAGGGCTTCTATTCTTATGTCAGTAAAAAAAGGAAAAACAAGGAGGCGATAGGACCTCTTCGAGGAGAAGATGGGGCAATGCTGATAGGGGATAGGGAAAAGGCAGAACTACTTAATGCCTTCTTTGCCTCAGTCTTCTCACAAAAAGAGAGTCTTCAACCTCAGCAAGATGGAGTGGATGAGGGATTGGAGGACATCCAACCCCAAATTGGGAAAGAAGTCGTCCAGGAATACCTGGCCGCTCTCAATGAGTTCAAGTCCCCAGGGCCAGATCAACTACACCCCAGAGTATTGAAGGAACTAGCGGAAGTCATTTCGGAACCATTGGCAACCATCTTTGAGAGTTCTTGGAGAGCGGGAGAAGTTCCAGCAGATTGGAGGAGGGCCAATGTGGTCCCAATCTTCAAGAAGGGAAAAAAGGATGACCCAAACAACTACCGTCCGGTCAGCCTCACGTCGATACCAGGCAAGATTCTGGAAAAGATTGTTAAGGAAGTGGTCTGCAAACACTTAGAAACAAATGCAGTCATCGCTAATAGTCAACATGGATTTATCAAAAACAAGTCATGCCAGACTAATCTGATCTCTTTCTTCGATAGAGCTACAAGCTGGGTAGATGCGGGGAATGCCGTGGATGTAGTGTACCTGGATTTCAGTAAGGCCTTCGACAAGGTCCCCCATGACCTTCTGGCAAGGAAACTAGTCCAATGTGGGCTAGGCAAAACTACGGTGAGGTGGATCTGTAATTGGTTAAGTGGACGAACACAGAGAGTGCTCACTAATGCTTCCTCTTCATCTTGGAAAGAAGTGACAAGTGGAGTGCCGCAGGGTTCCGTCCTGGGCCCGGTCCTGTTCAACATCTTTATTAATGACTTAGATGAAGGGTTAGAAGGCATGATCATCAAGTTTGCAGACGACACCAAATTGGGAGGGATAGCCAATAGCCCAGGACAGGAGCAGAATTCAAAACGATCATGACAGATTAGAGAGATGGGCCAAAACTAACAAAATGAAGTTCAACAGTGACAAATGCAAGATACTCCACTTTGGCAGAAAAAATGAAATGCAAAGATACAGAATGGGGGACAGTGCCTGGCTCGAGAGCAGTACGTGTGAAAAAGATCTTTGGAGTCCTCGTGGACAACAAGTTAAACATGAGCCAACAATGTGATGTGGCGGCAAAAAAAGCCAATGGGATTTTGGCCTGCATCAATAGGAGCATAGTGTCTAGATCTAGGGAAGTAATGCTACCCCTCTATTCTGCTTTGCATAGACCACACCTGGACAATTCTGGGCACCACAATTCAAGAGAGATATTGACAAGCTGGAATGTGTCCAGAGGAGGCGACTAAAATGATCAAGGTCTGGAGAACAAGCCCTATGAGGAGCGGCTTAAGGAGCTTGGCATGTTTAGCCTGAAGAAGAGAAGGCTGAGAGGATATGATAGCCATGTATAAATATGTGAGAGGAAGCCACAGGGAGGAGGGAGCAAGCTTGTTTTCTGCTTCCTTGGTGACTAGGACGTGGAACAATGGCTTAAACTACAAGAGAGGAGATTCCATCTGAACATTAGGAAGAACTTCCTGACTGTGAGAGCCGTTCAGCAGTGGAACTCTCTGCCCCGGAGTGTGGTGGAGGCTCCTTCTTTGGAAGCTTTTAGCAGAGGCTGGATGGCCATTTGTCAGGGGTGATTTGAATGCAATATTCCTGCTTCTTGGCAGGGGGTTGGACTGGATGGCCCATGAGTTCTCTTCCAACTCTATGATTCTATGATTCTATGATTCTATGATTCTTCTCACACCATTGTATATCCCTAACTTCATTTTCCTGGATGACAAAATACCCTCAATGTACCACATCCCATTTGATCTTGGAAGCAATGCAGTGTTAGTCCTGATTAGTACTTAGATGAGAGACCACCAGTGAATACTAGGAACTGTAGAAATTGGCAAACCATCTCTGGATATCCCTTGCCTTGGAATTCACAGGGTTGCCATGAGAATTGACAAGAAGATGCCTTCTTTGATTAGGCAGTTTGATTAGGCAGTTTCACTAGAGCATTATCTTGACCCACTCTAAATCCGACAGTTTATTCTGGCCCTCCTTTTGGTTCCTCGCCATTTAGCTTAGGTTATGTCCGAGTCTCTGTACATTTGACCTCCATACTTTCCACTGGCTCCTTTAAGGAATTATTGCATTCATTGTGCCTGTACCCAGCTATGACTTTAACCTCAACTACATTGTTTTATGATGTTGTTTATGATCATGTTATGTTTTTATTATTTTATTTGTTTTTATTGTGCTTTATTTTATCCATAATTTTCGGGCTCCTTTTGTAAGCCACCCCTAGTCTCCTTGGGGAGATGGTGGCAGGGTGTAAAATAAAGTTACTTACTTATTACTAAGGCATGTAAATACATAAACTTTATGCTAAAGGTAGACCAATCTCTTTTTTTCCTGCTTAACAATGTGTCCATCGATTTTTATGGGAACTGGCTACAGGGGAAGCACATGGAGGTGAATATAAACACAACAAACAAATGCAGAGTGAAAGTATTTATAATGCCAAGACTTTGCCTTACCTGGGTAGTATCTTGCCAGGCCAGTTGCACTGCCAAAAACTTGCCAAAGCAAGGATTGATCTTCCTCTCTATTCTTTTTGAAGACTTCATCTAAGGCACCCGTCCAGTTCAATTCATTCAATACTATTGTAGCTGCACAAAGCAAAAACAAAACACAATAAATTTGGTATTACAAAGCCACAGTCGTATATGTGATATACTCTATACCAGTGGTTCTCAACCTTCTGAATGCCACAACAGTTCCTCATGTTGTGGTGACCCTCAACCATAAAATTATTTTTGTTGCTACTTCACAACTGTAATTGTTAGTTATGAATTGTAATGTAAATATCTCATATGCAGGATGTATTTTCATTCACTGGATACAAATACCTGATACACCTGGTGGGGTTGCGGGGAGGGTGTGTGTGTGTTAATTTTGTCTTTTGGGAGTTTTAGTTACTGGGATTTATAGTTCACCTACAATCAAATAGCAATCTGAACTCCACCAACTATGGAATTGAAGTAGACTTGACACACAAAACTCCCATGACCAACAGAAAATACTGAAAGGGTTTGGTGGGCATTGACCTTGAGTTTTGGAATTGTAGTTCACCTACATCCAGAGAGCACTCAAACAATGATGGATCTGGACCAAACTTGGCACAAATACTCAATTTGCCCAAATGTGAACACTGGTGGAGTTTGGGGAAAATAGACCTTGACATTGGGAGTTGTAGTTGCTGGGATTTACAGTTCACCTACAATCAAAGAGCATTCTGAACCCCACCAATGATAGAATTGGACCAAACTTTCCACACAGAACCCCTATGCCTTGAAGGGACTCACTAGTGTGAGCCTCCCTCCAGCCTTACACGCTCTCCCTTACCTGCACATGTGCACCACACCTGTCATGTGCCAAGCATGCCTGCTCTCCCCTCCCCACTTGGAGTCTCAGAAACAGCCCCCCCTTGGCAAAGAGGCCAGCCAATCACAGTGGAGGAGAGCTCTTGGTGGGAAGATTGCCATCTGATTCCAAAAAGGAGGTCAGGTGGAGATATCTTCATCCTTCTTTGCAAATGGGGTTCCTAAGACCATCCGAAATATATGTTTTCTGATAGTCTTTGGTGACCCTCTGAACCCCCCCCCCCCCCCCCCCGTGCCCCCCCCCCCCAGGGGTTCCAACCCCCAGGTTGAGAAACACTGCTCTATACTAACACAGTGATACAATCCCATGAACATTTAAGCAGTAAGCACATCAATTCTCTACAGTTCCTTAGCATGTGAATATGTCCTAATTAATAAAGGACAGTCATCTCTTTAAAGAGCTTAAAGATAAAGAACAAGAACTTTGAAATTACCCAGAAGTTAGCACCTCGAGACCAAGATGAGGTGGTATTCTAGTCACTGAATGACAGTCCTTTTTACCTTGAGAAGATGTGTTGTTGTCCTATTTCATTTATGAAAATACCTAGGCATTTCAATAAACACATGCAAAAATGCCCTGGGTTCTGTAGATAGCCATAACTACAGCAGACCCACTCTTCCAATAGGATTTACCAAGATGTCGAACCTCCACTCAAGAACTGATTCAATGTGTCTACTGTAGTTGAGATAAACCAATAAGATTCAGACATATGTTTTCCAAATTGTTGTCATCATGAGGATGCTTGCCATAGATGCAGGCGAAACGTCAGGAGAAATGCCTCTAGAACATGGCTCTATAGCCCGAAAAAACCCACAAGAACCTAGTGATTCCAGCCATGAAAGCCTTCGACAATATGTTGTCATCTTCTTTGGTCATACATTTTCTTGATGTTTCCCTATGTTTAATATCATTTTTATTATTTGCCCTTTGTTTGGAAGAGACTGAATGTTTTTCCCCTTTTCTTCTCTCCTTTATTTAAGCAGGACACTTAACCTAAACAATTAGTATCTAATACTGTTTTACAGTTTTATTTCTATAAAAAAGAAAGTACTCTAGAATCATTCACTTCCTTGGAATGTTTATTTATTCAGAGGTTTATACCCCATGTTTTAAAAAATCCAGCTTGTAGAATATTTAAATGGTACTGTAACCAATTCAAAAATATTTTCATAGAATCACAGAATCAAAGAGTTGGAAGAGACCTCATGGGCCATCCAGTCCAACCCCCTGCCAAGAAGCAGGAATATTGCATTCAAATCACCCCTGACAAATGGCCATCCAGCCTCTGCTTAAAAGCTTCCAAAGAAGGAGCCTCCACCACACTCCGGGGCAGAGAGTTCCACTGCTGAACGGCTCTCACAGTCAGGAAGTTCTCCTAATGTTCAGGATGGAATCTCCTCTCTTGTAGTTTGAAGCCATTGTTCGCGTCCTAGTCTCCAAGGAAGCAGAAAACAAGCTTGCTCCCTCCTCCCTGTGGCTTCCTCTCACATATTTATACATGGCTATCATATCTCCTCTCAGCCTTCTCTTCTTCAGGCTAAACATGCCCCGTTCCCTAAGCCGCTCCTCATAGGGCTTGTTCTCCAGACCCTTGATCATTTTAGTCGCCCTCCTCTGGACACATTCCAGCTTGTCAATATCTCTCTTGAATTGTGGTGCCCAGAATTGGACACAATATTCCAGATGTGGTCTAACCAAAGCAGAATAGAGGGGTAGCATTACTTCCTTAGATCTAGACACTATGCTCCTATTGATGCAGGCCACAATCCCATTGGCTTTTTTTGCCGCCACATCACATTGTTGGCTCATGTTTAACTTGTTGTCCACGAGGACTCCAAGATCTTTTTCACACGTACTGCTCTCGAGCCAGGCATCCCTACAGTATAAAAGCAGTTAAGTTTTAAAAAAAGAGAGAAAAAATCAACACTATATGATAAAAACAAATTCCAAAAGATTTTAAAAAGCGTAGGCAAAAAACAATGTAACACCAAGGTTGGTTTCTGTTACAGCCCCATGGGAAAAACATTCCATAATAATTGGTCCCACATAGTAGACCAGCCCCTGGTGGCGCAGTGGGTTAAACCCCTGTGCCGGCAGGACAGGTCGCAGGTTCAAATCTGGTGAGAGGCGGATGAGCTCCCTCTATCAACTCCAGCTCCTCATGTGGGGGCATGAGAGAAGCCTCCCACAAGAATGGAGGCTGCGTTACTGGATGGCTGCGTGCCAGCAGGTTGAGGGTAAACCCGGCAAAGGTGAAGATCCTATGGCTGGGTTGACCGGGCAATGGGGATATCCAGCTGCCTACCCTGGATGGTGAGGCGCTACGCCGTCATCATTGGTAAAGGGTCTGGGAGTCCTTTTGGACCCTCTGCTGACGATGGAGGCTCAGGTCTCTGCCGTTAGTGTCAGTGAAGTGTGTTAAGAGGGGGAAATTTGAACACAGGAGACCACCTGTGTTCAGAAAGGAAACCATTGGGACAGTGCGAGTGCATGCCAGAAAGGTGTGCTTTCCAGCATGTTATGGGCCAGCAGATGATGTGGTTGATGCAGGGTACTGGGTGATTCACCCTGCTGCCCCACAATTTGCCCTACTGTCCCCCATATCAAGGATCTCAATGTGATGAGGTCCTTAGTCATAGTTCACCTTAATGAAGCCATATTGTACTTTTCGTTATAAAATAATATTCCATATATCCACATAACAATGTCCACAACGACTAGCATCTTAGAGACTAACAAAGTTGAAAGAATAAGCTTTTGTAGCCTTTTACTTCCTCAGAGGCTTCTGAAAGATTATGCAACTTTGTTATCTCAATCTCTGAGGTGCTGTAGGATCCCTTAACATACTGATATTCCAGACTAACAGCTATATCTTTGAATGACTAGTATATTTACATTAATTATACTAATTTATACTATGCAGCACAGCCATACAGCCTGGTGCGGTGGAACTGCCATCCTCCACTCCCTACCCCTCTGTTTTAGCACAAAGCCTACTTGCCATTATAATGGAGGTTGAACTGTATTGAACTGGATTATAATACAGTTCAATCTGCATTATAATGGCAGATAGGGCCTATATTAACTATGACTATGAAACTAAGAGTAATTAAATTGAATATGATACTGATTTTAGCACAAACGGTTTTGGTCGTTTACTTGTCCAAACGTATCTCCTTCTATGACCCACCTTAGAGTTTATTATCGTCAGAGAAGGACCTGCTCTAGTTCCTGCCACTCTTGCAAGCCAACTGGCAAAGACAAGAGACAGGGCCAGGTGGCGGAGCATGCACTTTTGCTGACTGGACCAGCTTCTCAGTGGGAAAGTGAGTTAAATATAACTTAGGTAAAGATAAAGGTTTTCCCCTGACATAAAGTCCAGTCGTGTCCGACTCTGGGGTGTGGTGCTCATCTCCATTTCTAAGCTGAAGAGCCGGTGTTGTCCGTAGACACCTCCAAGCATGACTGCAGCCGGCATGACTGCGTGGAGTGCCGGAACTTACCCAAGGTAAAAAGAGCTGAAAATAGACTTGAAGCATAGCTAAAAGACTATAGAACAAAGTTGTTTACTTTTCTGCCAAATCAGAAATAACAGAGGTATTAAAAAGCTATTGCAAAAGTCCTAAAGCTTCCTGAGATAAGCAACCACTGCCTCCAGGAGCTGCCAGGAGTTGCCTAAGATAAAGGCTATCTGGTAGGCTTGGGCGATCCAGTTCGTTAATTTCGTTATTTGTTATTAATTCATATTTAAATTAGCTTACGATCCAATATTGAGCCATGCAGGAATAGTGTGAGGAGTAATTAAGAATCGAAACAATTTTTCCAATTTTTGTAATTATTTCGTAATTATTTCATAATTATTTTCATATGTCTGGTGCAAGTTTTACAATCTCGCATTTACCCCACTTCCGGTCCCTTTGCTCTGCTGCTTCCCTCCTCTTTCCTCATGCTTCTTCTTGCCTCACTCTGGGCTGCACTGGGCTACCTTCCTTCCTTCCTTCCTTCCTTCCTTCCTTCCTTCCTTCCTTCCTTCCTTCCAGCTGGCAAATCCCACATTCCCCCCTCCATCCTCTTTCTCCTGGCATCCTTCTTGCCCAAAATGTCTCATTACTTTATTTTTCATACCCTCACTCTATGCCACAGGAATGCGTTGCCAGGTACAGCTAGTATAAAATATAACATAACATAACATAACATAACATAATATAATATAATATAATATACA